ACCTTGACTTACAGAATTCAATTTAATTACATTCGATTTACTTTTCATTTGTTTTTTTTAAGCAAAATTTTCAGAGTCACTAATTTTCAATGATCAATATTATGGTTAACGATCGTAACACCCAGTATTTTTTTGTTTATGAGTAGCTTCGTATTTCAGTAAAAATGAAGTGAAACTTTACACTGATTTATTGTTTATCCGCAAAACCTTTGATTGTTTTTCTCACCCTGAAGTTGGCTAACTGTTATGAAATGAGTAGTTCACATTTCCGTTATGAAATTTTCAATTACAAATGTTTAATTTTTATACTACTACTACTGTAAGCAAGGAAAGACCTATGGGGCTGAAGGAATGTCTCTTTGGACAAACTCTTTGTAGGTACATAAATTTGGTACACCATACCAATGCTTTATTCAAACATCATTTGTAAATTGGCCGAATATCATCGCATTCAATAGCTTGTTGAATTCTGCACAGCGTTTCTAACGATATTCTCACAGCCCCGTTCTTCTATTGCTTTCTCCAGTGTCGCGAACATATTGTTGCTTTTCTGAACTCGTTTACTGATATATTTTTCAAGCGTTGGTTTGTAGGGATTTGATTGGTTTACAGGATTTCATCATGAGCTGACATCGGTTAGAGAACCATTGGAAGACCTTGAAGTACTGGACAGCTGTTTTGTCAGACCAGTTTGGAACTCTTCATCACTACGCACCCACCGAAGTTTCGAACCCAGGATCTTCTGGTTACAAGGCGAGCTCGTATACTATTGAGGCACTGGGACCAAAGTTTCCAATGGTTATCCAACTCATGTCAGCTGAGGATAAAAGCCTGTAACCAATGAAATCCCTACAAACCAACACTTGAATATCGATGAGATGCTCACTAGTGACTTGCCGTATCCACGTAGGTAGTTACCTGGGGTTCTAGTGAGAAGTCGTGACCAGTAGGGTGCAGAAGGTCGGGTGTGAGGACAAACAGTCGCCAAAGACATTAGCGAATGGTCGCGCTATTTCATGAATTGGCAGAAGTTGGAACTCATGAGCTGGTCAATAGATCGGGTCCCAATGGCTTAATGGTCTACCAGGTCACTAGTCTTGTAACCAGAAGGTCCTGGGTTCAAATCCCGGTGGGTGCGTACTGATGAAGAGTCCCAAACTAGGACGAAACTGATACCCAGTACTCCTTGGTGGGTTTTCCAATGGTTCTCTAACCAATGTCAGCTCGTGATGAAATACTGATATACTACTTATATCTAATTATAAGTAGCACCCACCACACTACTACTTCATGTACAAATCTGTCAGCCACAAAGCATTTCTGTATGTTTGTATTTGTTTAGTCTGGTTGATTGACTGAAATGCCTCATCTCATTTGTGGTTAAAATTATAAACTAACACCGTAGAATTTGTAATGGTCGTTTGATTCTATGCCGAACTTGCTTTTTGTATAATATGCCTAGGCATTAGTGAATGTGTGTTATTATTACCCGTGACATTAGAAAAATTACATTTCTAAGAAATAATTTTACAAATAAAGAAGAACAAAAAATCTGATTATCAAAATAAAGAAAAGTAATAAAGCAGTCGGTGTGGTCTCATTAATTGCCTCATCAACTGACTGTTGTATCCTCATTCAATTTTGCAAAACGATTTAAAAGAAATTTGACTAGAAAACAAAGTAATGCTTCTTGTTAGTCTAAAAAAAGATCAATCTGCTCATATGTCATATTTAAAAAGTATCTCGTTAAACTGTTTTCAGTGTCCATTATTATTTTCGTTTGTATTCCTGTGTAAACTCCTGAAGTAATTAGTGTACTAGAATGTCAACCATGCATGCATAACACTAAAATGATTAGAAATAAACAGACAGAAACAAAACAATAAAATAGAATTTTACATTCCGATTTTCCAATTACTCGACAAAGGTTTATTCGGTTGGAGGATTTCATGGTGAACTGATATCAATTAGAGAACCATCGGAAAACTTGCAGGAAGTATTGGGCAGCCAGGTATCTCGTCAGCCTAGTTTGGGACTCTTTATCAGCACGCACCCACTGCCAGCTTTAGAATTCACGACCTTATAGTTACAAGGAGAGCGACCTCGTAGATCATTAAGAGACTGGGACCCTATCCAATAGCCAGCCCATGAATTCTAACTTCTCCCAATTCATGACATAGCGTGACCACTAGCCAATGTCTTTTTCGATGAGTTACTTTCCTCATCTCCGATCTGCTGTACCCTACTGGTCACGGCTTCGCACTAGAACCCGAGGTAACTGCCTGAATATGGTGGGTAGCTAGCGAGCATCAGGTTAATTTTCAATTATTTGTTTCGTGAGGATTTTGTTTGATTGGTTGGAGGATTTCATCATTAGCTGACATCAGCTGGAGACGACATTGCTAACTGGTCAAACTATGTCATGAACTGAAAGAAGTTGGAATTCACGGGCTGGCCATTGGATCGGGTCCCAATGGCTGAACAGTTGGTCTACGAGCTCACCCAGCCTAGTAACCAGAAGGTCCTGGATTCGAACCCCATGGTGTGGGTCCGTATTGATGAATAATCCCAAACTAGGCTGACGAGACAGCTGGCTGTCCAGTACTCACAGGTTTTCGAATGGTTGTCTAACTGATGTCGAATCATGATGATATCCTGTAACCAATCAAACAAAATCCCTACAAACCAATACTTGAAAAGGCTTATTCATTTTATCTACAAGTAATTCTGTATGGTTAATTAAATTAGAAGAAAAAAAGGAGACAGAATGAATGAGCCCTGTTCAGTCATACGGAAACATATTCAGTAGTTGTCTACTGATTGCTAACAGCAATTGTTTATAACGTGTCAGTGTTTACTGCTGCACTGATAAACCAAATATTATTATTGTAAAAGCACAAAAATTAATAAAATCTCCCTATTTCTTAAATGATCATACATCCTAAAATGATCTCGTTTAAACTTAGTCAGTGATTTATGAAAATACGTTTCACATTATGCTTTAGGAAGAGGATAGAGAACGATACTTATCACATCTGTGTTTTAGAAAATCAAGATAAAATCAGTAAATCAAAATAATCAAATTATATGGAGGATTTCACCATGGGCTGACATCAGTTAAAGAACAACTGGAAAACATGGGAATACTGGACAGCTGTTTCATCCTAGTTTGAGACTCTTCACAGTACGCGCCCACCGGGATTCGAACCCGGGGCCTTCTGGTTACAAGGCGAGCTCGTAGACCCCGGCGGGTGCGGATGCTGAAGAGTCCAAACTAGGACGAAACGGCTGTTCAGTACTCCCAAGTTTCCCAGTGGTTCTCTAACTGATATCAGCTCATGATGAAATCCTCCATACAATCAAACAAAATCCCTAAAAAACCAACACTTGAAAATAATCAAATTAATTGTACCTATTGTGATAATGAAGTATAACCAAAGGGTGATTAAGAGACATGAATTTTGACAGTTTCATTCTTTTCATGGAGGATGTAATCATGAGCTGACATCAGTTAGAGAACCACTGGAAAACCTGGGAGTACTGGACAGCCGTTTCGTCCTAGTTTGGGACTCCTCAGCAGTACGCACCCACCGGGATTCGAACCCAGGACCTTCTGGTTACAAGGCGAGCTCGTAGACCATTGAGCCACTGGGTCTTTTTCAGTTAAACGGTTGTGTTCTTATCTTTACTGTTAATTTTACTATTACCACCACTTGTAGCTGAGGTACTGTGGCTATTCGGTAGGTATAGCTGTGAGTAACTAGTCCGAACAGCATTTCATATTCATATTGTCAGTTAAGAAGCATAAACACCCATTACATAATACATATGACTCACTGTCAAGCTTACAAAACATGCGGAGTTGTCAAAAGAAAGCAGACTTCTTAAAACCTGTAGTCAGTAATTTTCTAACTGTAAATAAACAATTCATAGGTAGTTGTCTTCGCTCAATACTCAAGATCAGATGGCCAGAAATGATCAGCAACAGGGATCTCTGGAAGCGAACCAACCAGGAACTGACTGTGAAACAAATAGGCAGGAAGAAATGGAGATGGATTAGCCATACTCTGAGAGAACAAACCATCAAGTGACATCACAAGACAAGCCATTACTCGGGTGGAACCCGAATGGGAAGCGGCGAGTCGGTCGTCAGTGCAAGGGTGACTTGTAGGAGGTCATGTGAAGAGGAGATGAAAGCATGTGGGCAGACTTGGAGCCAGGTGGAAACGTTGGCAGAGGACCGAACGCAGTGGAGACGCGCGGCTGAAGCCGTATGTTACCCTAGGTATTAAAGGACGTAATAATAAATAAACAATTTCGTATTCCACAGACTGGATCGATATTATTTAGTCTTTAATAATTAATGGCAGTGATTTTGATTGGACACTGGTAACCAGTGCGACGTGTCTAGTCCTTTCTTTGGTACAGGCTGGATTTTGTCAGTCAGGTTTGCAATGTGGCTGGTTCAAATCTCAGAAGGCGCATGAGTTCCTTCAAGGTTGCAAATACGCCGCCTTGGTGACTATTAGTGAGTGCCGACTAGCACGAAACCTAGGTTCAAGGCTTCCTGAGGCCGATCGCCTCCAACCTAATTCAAAGTGAACTATTGCATTTTTTAAGATTTGAAACCAGGGGTAATAGCATTCACACAAAAAACAATTATATAAAAATTATCTCAGTTTTCTAAAATTCAATTAAAAAGAAAGTTTAAAATTCCTCAACATATAAACAATGCTGTAAAATAAAGCCGACATCAAGCCAACATCTATATTGATTTCAACAAAATTGAACTAAGGTATTTGGAATAATTTTGGTGTTAATATTTTGTAAACTTTGTGAATTTACTTTCATATATTAAATAAATAAGTGTTTCAAAACTATGAATAGTTCCTTTAAAGTCTGTTTAATCTGATGATAATAATATGAAAAAAAAAACAACTAATGAACATTGCTCAACGAAAACTGAAACTGATCAAAACAAATCAATATTTCATTTATACTTGTTTATCTGATGTTGATTCGTATTCATCCTGATTGTTCAACAATCCAAGTTTACCAGGATAATCATGATGATGGTGATTGTGTTCATAATGATCATCAATATTTTCTTTTAAATTTTCACATATTTTATTTGTTTCCGTTGGAACAATTAACGATTTTCGTTTATTTTTCATCTGTTCCTCATACCATTTACACCATGGTCTATTTGGTGGACCTGAATAATGAAGATAACTACCACCTTGTAGTGATTCGGTGACTGCATCTTCGAATGTACATCCAGGTGGAATAATAAAGCGTTCATTGATTGGATCCTCTTCATTCGGTTCGGAGAATAGAAATAATAAACCATCAATGATAGCTTTTAAACCCATCTCACTGATAAAAGAAATAGAAAGATGAGAGATATAAGAAAGTAAAGGTATTTGTGATATTTTATTCACTTACCGTGCCTTCCCCAGTCTAACTAATATTATCTTCAAACAGATCAATTAAGGACATAAAAACACTTTCGTTTACAAAAATACTCGCCTGCATAAAACATCTTCCGGTGCATTTAATAATTCTTAAAAAAAGATAAGCCTTCTGAACTCGTATCATCCTAAGTTTTCTTCTATTAGGCCTAGAGTAATCGGATGCATGATTTAAACAAAGCCTAAAGCTATATTATTAAGCTTGAAGATGAGTTATTTTCCGCTCAATAAAGTCACGACTCGATATCTTCATGACTACATTTTATGCATATATATATATATATATAACACAAAACAATTGAGCAAAGAATATCCTTTTCGATAATTTCCTCTTCTGGCTCTACAATTATACATATGTTTGTATACATAGAATATTCTAAACTAGTAGTCCATAACAATATTAGTGTTTTTTCAATGATATCGATTTCATATGTAAGATTAGTGGAATTACACTTCATTAAAGATCCTTAAATTATAATAATAATAATAAAAATACAATAGCAACTAGAATATCAACTAAAATTAGGAAAATTCCACAAAGATTGAGGATCATTCAAACCTAGATGGCCAAGGTGAGGATAATGTCTGAACTAACTTCTTTTGGACGCACAAATCAGGCTTCTTAATATGAATCCCAACAACCTTAGCAATATTTCGTAGTCGAACTCTTAAGGCGAAAGTGAGATTGTTTGTATGCAGCAAATGACCCTAAAAGCATGGTTACCGTCAATCTTGTGTTCTATATCCACAAGATGAAATAGAACAGCGCGTCCAAAAGAAGTTAGCTCAGACATTATCCTCACCTTGGCCATCTAGGTTTGAATGATCCTCAATCTTTGTGGAATTTTCCTAATTTTAGTTGATATTCTAGTTGCTATTGTATTTTTATTATTATTATTATAATTTAAGGATCTTTAATGAAGTGTAATTCCACTAATCTTACATATGAAATCGATATCATTGAAAAAACACTAATATTGTTATGGACTACTAGTCCAGAATATTCTATGTATATAAACGTATAAAATTATAGACCCAGAAGAGGAAATTACCGAAAAGGATATTCTTTGCTCAATTGTTTTGTATCTTATAGATGTCTGGATGAATATTTTCTCTCTCTCTCTCTCTCTCTCTCTCTATATATATATATATATATATATATATATAAATCATCTATATTTTTATCGATCATGTAGCAGAAAAAATCAATGTAATTTATTAAAACGTGATATACCCGCTTTCAGTTTAAGAATGAGCTTATATAAGGTGAAATATCTAACTCCACATTAGCTATATATATACTGCAAGACAGACAATCTTGACTGATTTTTTCATAAGTACATTTTGAATTTAAGCGAAATTTCCACTTTAATTCAAAGGTGTTGGCGCAAATCGTGCTAAGACAAAGGTTTTTCTGTTCAATTTTTGTTTTTACAGTTACAAAATACATTAATTATCAGAAAAGTCGAATTTCTAATGAGGCAATTTTTCGTGTAAATTCCTTTCCTAATTCTTAAAGTCTTACTTAATATGGAGTGAATACAATTTCGATATGCTTTTCTAAACAAAGACAAGAAAAGACTTACAAATATGATCTGTAGGAAGATAAATAACGCTGAATACCAACTGAAAACAGCATATTTGTTCGGCTGTTAAAAGTAATGTCATTTGATGCTTCTACAATGTACCACTTGTGTTTAAGAGGTCTTGAATATCAGCCTTTCTAAGAGATCCAGACTGTAGACATTACGCCTACTAAAAATAAGACTAGAAAATTGACATTATCAATAGTTGGACTGAATTATTCATAAGAGCATTTGACTCAATACAACCTTACTTATATCTTTCAAGTAAATGATATGCATGGATGGAAATGTCGGGGTTTTTCTCTTTCATTTTTATGGTGATTTTGTTTTCGTGTGTGTGTTTGACTACCTACTATGATGTCATTTTCAAAGTTCATGTTTCTAATTCAATTGACAAATATACTGTATACTTAAAAAATTCCATACTTTATTAGTTTTACAGGTAAGAAATACTTAAATCTTCAATATACCTGTCTCTACAGCATATTTTGTTTCATGTATTTTAGCGCCTAGTTTGAATTTTTAATAAAATACAACGTAGAATACTACATTTCAGTATATTCGGTAAATGTCATTAGTTTGTATGTCTGTTTTGAATTTAAGTGAAACAAACAACTGACTTACTTGTATTTATCGATTTTATTACATGTTTCAGTTGACTAACATTTCTCAATTTGAAATTAATCTCCTTTATTCGAAATTTAAATTTGTTATAAATGTCGTACTTTTACATAGTAAAAAGTAATTATGGGTGTTATCAGTTGAACAATTAAGCAATATATGACTATAGGTTCAACAGTTTTTTTTTAATAATTCGACTTACTTTACGCTTAACTGTGATCCATCGTTGCCAAGTATACTAACGCTTACTAGTGATTCGTTTGAAAGTAACGGATAACAAAGGTGCAGATATATCGTTATTACTTTTCCTTTGCCAATGGAGTGGAACATAGAGCTAGCTGGTTTTAAGCCCGTCAAAAAAGAGGAAAGGCTGGTGGTCGAACTAGCGGCCTAACCCGAGAAAATCAATTTCAGATCTACAGCAATTTCAAAAGACTAGAAAAATGACCTCATTGTTCTCCACCATTATATGCACAATCAGTTACTCAAGTTGCCATAAGAACTATTAAAAGGTATTTGAATTAAGCAAGAACGAAATGCCTGAAATCTGATTTGTGTGTTCAGAAAGAAGCAGTTATCAGTCTTTCCTAGCTCTGATAGCTGGATGTCCCTACTCTGTCTCTTCCACTTGATTGCGTAATCTCTGTTTTCAACCGAAATCCCCTTCGACATAGTGCAGTTTTGCTTGTCTCTTGTTTCTATGGTTTGAGTTGATTTCGGTACATTGTTACCCAATTTATTAGTTTACTCATCATCTTACTCACCTCTCGTCTTTATTGCGCAACTCCTTTACCATGGTATACATACATTCACTTTGCTTAAACTTGAACTCCTTGTATGAAAAGTGAAAAGCGTAATTTTCTTAGCACTGTTCACTAAGTGCAGAACCACCTGTCAAATGACATCATGCAAAATTTGCAAGTATGTTAAAACTTTTCTGTACATAAACTTAATAATTTATTTAAGCCGTGCGCAGCTGGTGAGAAGCCAATGAAATAAATGATGGTATCATCTTATCCTGCACAAACCACGGTTTTTCTTGTTCTATTCAAATTCGAAAACGGATTAAACGTATGAAGTTTCTGAAAAAGCATTTTTACTTCACACTTACTCAGATTATTCAGTGATGCACACACCAATATTGAGTTTACTATGGAACATGAAAGTGAAGAAGAGTTTCACTTCCTCGACACTGCTATGGAACGCCTAGAAGACGGCAGTCTTCAGAAGTCAGTTTATTGAAAGCCTACATGGAAAGGACAATACTTATATTTTAATAGCTTTTGTCCAAATAGCCTAAACGCGGACTAGTCAAGACTCTGTGCTCTAGAGAGAGGAGGATATGCTCTATAGAGAAATTAGAGCAAGAATTTGAGTTTCTTGAAAAGATATTGAAGAGCAATGGGTACCCTCAAAGGTTCATCAACAAGTATGGAAGCTCTGAAGTCACAAATGTAAAACAGATCACAGTGGGTAAAAAGCCAATCTACATTCAGCTTGATTATAAAGGTGAAAACATTGCAGCAATGATCAAAAGAAGGCTGAGTACATCACTAGCCATAGCCTATCCTGCAGCTAAGCTCGTTCCCGTCTATCGAACAACCTACTATTCGGTGCAATCAAAAACCGACAGATATCCTTCTCATGTTAATTCCAACTGTATATACAAATATACGTGTATCTGTGGGAGCAGTTATATGGCAAAGACAGAAAGAAGGGCATATCTACGATTTTCTGAAAATGTACCAAAAGGCTTACGTCTAAGGGGAACAAATGCTTTAAACAATGCCGTCACCACGCATCTCCTCAACACGGATCATGAGGTGGACGTCGAAAAGTCGTTCAAAATTATCAATAGGCAAAAGAGTTCTATTCTCCTCAAGTTTTCCGAAGCAATCTCCATCAAGAGCCTGAAACCTGATTTATATATTCAGTAAGAAGCAGTTATCAGTCTTTCTTTGCCCTGATAACTGGATATTTTCACCCTTTCTTTGATCGGATTATGTAATGACGAAGGTTTCCATTATGTATGATTATTATTGTTCGGAATAGTGTTTACTATTATATATATATATATATATATATATATATATATATATAATTACTGTATGCATATATTGATCGACTGATTTTTGTTTAAAATGAACTCTGTGCAAGTATGTTAAAATTGTTTTGTAGACATATTTAATAATGTCTTTGCCCTGTAAGCAGGTGATGAGAAGGCGACGAAATAAAAGATGGTACCAATTTATTCTGCTAAAACTGTAGTTCTTGCTTTATTCAAATTCATTAAGGGGAATAAATGTTTGAAAGTACTGATAAAGTAAGATAAGTGTCTTCGTCCATTAGCATTAGCAAAGAGACACCACCAAACAAGAAAGCCGACTAAGCTATGACCTGTATCAGTTACCATAATAACATTATACTAATTTATGCTTATTAAGATACATATTTAAAAGTAAATAAACTTACATATTCCAATTATGAAATAGATTTAAACAAACACCTCCCCCGTTGTCATAATCTTCAATATTTGGATGATATATGTGACTTAAACAACGAACAGCTGGCATTTCTCCATAGCGTTCAAAACGAACGATAATCTATACAGGCGGGAAATATTTTGCATATTAAAAGATACTACAGTTATTTTTGTATTGTAACTTCACACCTTCTCATTGAAAACCAATATTCAATATGCTTAATATAAAAGTATTATAAAGTTGTATGCAAGGTGATAGTATTAGTGTCTTTCAAATCTGTCCTCTTTCGAGGAAGAAAAATGATTGGGGAGAATTGAAAACAGTCCCACCTACCTTAACATCCTTTAAATACATCTATATAAATCGATATAGCGTCTCCTTGTCAAATTTCATTTTTCTATATTTTTATCATTTTTTTTGTCTTAACTACCTACAGGATTCTCATTATTACTACACTATATTTTTTCTCTTCAAATAGACATGTTACAATTTCATCGGTAGTTTGACCGTCGACAGATATAATTCTTCATATTTTGGTCCCATTATTATCACTAGTGTTCGTTCCCTACGTTTCGAATGGAGCATAGGACTTCAGCACAGCATACCCATTGCACTGAACACTCTACAGTCATTTTCACCCCTTTCCACAACTGCCTGTAAGTTTTAATTCCCTCTTCACATGAGCTGCTAAATGTCAACCTCACAGCCACACCTAACTCATCACTTCCCACTCGGGCTCCACTGTAAGGCCTAGCGTATGATGTCACTAAGAGTTTGTCTAATCCATCTTAGTCTTCTCCTGCATAACTTGTTGGGCAATAGGTTCTTGGTTCGTTTGCAAGTCCGCGTACCTGCCAAGGTTTCTTCTTGCTTCATACTATCTGACCGGCAGTCTCATCCTCAGTATCAAGCTCGCAAGGGTAGCTGTTGATAAAAGTCTGAGACCACCTGTCAGTAGTCCATTAGGTGAGAGGTATGCAAAGTCTTTCAGTCGTATGGGAGCACAAAATTCTTTACTTTAGCTCTAGAAATTAAGATCTTATTCTTTGTACTGAATGTCATGGATCTCCAAACTAATTTCAGAATGAAAGATGCCTGTCTTACTTTCTTATTCTTATCCTAACTGGCTTTGATATCTTCATACAGGCTAACACTTGTATTTGTATTTAGGTGTTAGTTTATAGGGGTTTGGTTAGTTACAGGATTTCATCATAAACTGACATTGGTTAGGGAACCATCTGAAAACCAACGGGAATTACTGGACAGCTGTTTCGTCAGGCTAGTTTGAGACTCTTCATCAGTGTGCAACCACCGCCATGGTTCGAACCCAGGACCTTCTGGTTACAAGGCAAGCGAGCTCGTAGACCATTAAGCTACTTGGACCCGATCCAATGACCAGCCCATGAAATCTAAATGATGCCAATTCATGACATAAAGCGACCCTTAGCCAATGTCTTCAGCGAGTATTTGTCCTAAAACCCAACCTGCTGCAACTTACTTGTCACAACTTCTCACTAGAACCCCAGGTAACCAGTAGGTTGCAGCAGGTCCGGTTTATGGACAAAGACTCGCCGAAGACACTGGCTAGCGGTTTAGCTATGTCGTGAATTGGAAGAAGTTAGAATTCATGAGCTGGTCATTGGATCGGGTCCCAGTGGCTTAATGGTCTACGAGCTCGCTCGCCTTGTAACCAGAAGGTCCTGGGTTCAAACCATGGTGGTGTGTGCGTACTGATGAAGAGTCTCAAACTAGCCTGACGAAACAGCTGTCCAGTACTTCCCGTTGGTTTTCCAATTGTTCTCTAACCAATGTGAGCTCATCATAAAATCCTGTAACTTGCATTTGTAGTGATGCTTCCAAGGTAGGTGACTGTAAGCGACAGCTTCGTTTACATGTCTCTTGACGATAGTAACTGATGCTCGTTGTTGTCACTGGTTGAGTAGATTCATTACTTCTGTCTCCTCTCTAAGTCTCACACTTCTAATCTAGTTAATTATCCTTCAGAAATGTTCAACCATCACGTACAAATATGAAAAAATAAAACAGAAATAAATCACATGAAACTGATAGAATATTCAAATGGTTTCCTTCTCTAAAAAACAACCAACAATATGATTATCAATTTTCTAGAAAGCGCATATTAAAATTCACATCAAAAGTAATTTGAATACATTTGAATACGTCTCTCTCTCTCGCTCTGTATAGATATATTTTTTTGAAAAGAACCAAAAGTTGATCACTTCACTAAATTCTTCACTAGATTGGTCAATTATGGTTGTTTTTATTATATATACACAGAAAACAAAAAAAAGCTTAATTCTCATTTTCATTTCCTTATTAAGTTAATCCTTGAAATTATGATGGAATAAATTCTCCAAAATAAGTTAAAAAACAACAATAAAACAACAAAATAATAAATCAACTTATGTAATTTGAAACATTCATACATTTTGAATGAAATTCATGTCAAGTGAAAAATGTGAAAAAACAAACAAACATACAAGCAAACTTGTTTTGTTTGTTTTTTTCTAAGTGGTTTTCATGTGAACTATATTTTCTAACTTAAAAGAGTATTTTTGAAAATTATTGCGTTTATGTAGTTCTTCATTTCGGACGGCAGTTTTCTCCAGGCCTAACATGAATTGTATTCATGTGTAGCTTTCTATTATCTAAACTAAGTAACCTCCCATTATTTCATTAATAATGTATTGTATGAAATTTGGGCGCTGTGATAGTGTATGTGTGCGTTGGTGGCACAGTGGTAGAATGCTCGCCAACCACGAGGGTGGTTCGGCGTTCGATCCCGGCCACCAACGCACTCCTTTACCTCTCTAAGCGAGGAATAAGACTGGTAAAGAAGGAAGGTTGGGCATGAAGCTAGCAACCCCATCCCGTAAAAACAAACTTTACTGCTACTGAAACTTCAGAGCTCTAGCTTGAAGCTCTCTGTTCCACTGGGAACGTGAAGGAATAAAAAAAAGTGTATGTAGTCCCATAATTATTTGTTTACTGGCTGTATTTTCAAGTATTGTTTCGTAGGGATTTTGTTTGATTCGTTGGAGGATTTCATCATGAGCTAATATCAGTTGGAGAACCATTGGAAAACCTACAGGGAGTATCGGACTCTTCAGCAGTACGCACTCACACCGCGGGGTTCAAAACCAAAAACTCGTAGATCATTAAGCCACTGGCATCAGATCCAATAGCCAGCTCATGAATTCTAATTTCTTTCAGTTCATGACATAGCGTGACCACTAGCGAATGTCTTCTTCGATGAGTTGCTGTCCTCATCTCCGACCTGCTATACCCTACGAGTCGCGGCTTCGCACTAGAACCCGAGGTAACTGCCTGAACAGGGTGAGTAGCTAGTGAGCATCAGATTAATTTTCAAGTGTTTGTTTTGTGGGGATTTTGTTTGATTGGTTTGTGAAGAGTCCAAACTAGGCTGATGTAACTACTGTCCGGTACTCCCAAGGTTTTTCTGGGGAATATGTCACATTTGTGGAACAGTATTACTTACTGGATGACTCTTCGAACAGAATTTATTCTTAACAATCACATCAACTGTAAGTAAAAATCTGCGAAACCTGATTTGGTAGTTCTTATTCCTCTTTCTAATTTGTCATAAGGAAAAGAAGTAAACAGCGAAGAAAATTTTCTTTCCAACGATTAATTTTCATAAGCTGTACAATCGTAATTATTATATTTGACAAAAAATTCATAAAACTAAGAAGACATTTCAACCAGCCATCTTACGCATAACATTCTCTAGTAGACAATTTATTCAGTCTAATGTTTAGGAAAAGATACCACTTTTGGCCACCTCACTATACATCTATCAATTCACTTGCTGGTGTTGGGCAAAGTATGCCTGCCATACGCAATGTCAAGTCCACAAACCTATTCTAGAACACTGTTCAGATTGGCTAGCTGACCCGAGGAGAAAAGAAGAATACCAGAAGCTCCATCCTCGAACATTTTATCATTTCCGGACATTGAGCACCCCCGCATGAAGACTGTGTTACACAAAGTCCCTCAGCATTGTAGGAAAGGACCTTGAATATGCTATCGGTACATAACTGCCTCATTGGCTATCCAGGATCTGAAACTGGACCTCTACATTCAAAAGCAGCACTCACATTTACTCACCCTACCGTGACCAGAGTAACGTTCTCACTATAAGTTTACTTCCTTTTATTATGTAAGTCTACTTTTATTATTATTACTGCCATTCCTATTTTCTTATCACTCTACTACTGTTTATTAATAACACTGCGTTTTCATACATATTTCATAAAAACACTGTTGTCTTTCCACTAGTTCTTGTCCACTCTACACAATTATAATGATTAGTTATTTTCTAAAACTTATTGTGTCATTCCAACTTCTACCCCTTTTCTAACTTCCACTTAGTCACCCCGTCTAGGTTACACCCTAAATTACGTAATATATGTTTCGAGGACGAATTTTACCAGTATCTGACTGGTCTTATGAATTATTTGTTAAATATGATTACGCTTGTACAACTTACGAGAATGAATCGACGAAAAGAAAATTTTATCCGCAGTTTACGCCTTTTTATTATGACTCAAAATGGGAGTATTTCATACATTTCCAGTTTGTCTTGAGGGTAGTACTATTTTCCAGATGTCTGGAAAGGTGTTGATTAAGTTATTTCTATGGCACATGTTTTCAGTTGATTCAATATATAAAGGTTATTCAAGTGTTGGTTTGTAGGGATTTGATTGGTTTACAGGATTTCATCATGAGCTGACATTAGTTAGAGAACAATTGGAAAACCAACGGGAAGTACTGGACAGCTGTTTAGTCAGACTACTTTGGGACTCTTCATCAGCGTGCAACCGCCATGGTTCGAACCCAGGACCTATTGGTTACGAGTCAGTTAACCTGGGGTTCCAGTGGGAAGCCGTGACCAGTAGGGTACAGCAGGTTGAATGATGAGGTAGTAACTCATTGAAGAAAACACTGCGAAATGGTCTCGCTTTGTCGTGAATTGGCAAAAGTTAGAATTCATGGGCTATTGGATTAGGTCCCAGTGGCTTAGTGGTATACGAGCTCACCTCGCAACCAGAAGTTCCTGGGTTGGAACCATGGCGGTG